CACATTGCATCGGGACATACAGGCTGTCGTTGGATGTGCATCCGTCGACTGGTGAGAAAAAGAACTTGTTCGATGTCTCGTTCATGTGTCGACACATTCCATGGACGCCAAATTTTGTCAAGGTATATACCCTAGGGCTCCAACTATACATCCTCAGAAGGTGGTTAGACCCCCCAAACCTACCCCAACCACCTTCTCAGGAGGTGGGCCAGGAGCCCTAGGGATAGTCGAACTCTGCCGGGCCATAGGGCCGTAGGTGTTGTTTGAGAAATGCCAGCCATGTCGCATCATGTCGACAGCTTGGTCGACAGGATGTCGGCTTCGGCTTGCTTCGGTGCGGAAAAATCCCTATCGACTTAAGACTATCTCTAAAGAATCCCCAAACAGGCCCTCCATGGCAGAATCCCAACACGGACCCGTTTCGCAAAGCCTATATATGTTGGATCGCTCCCCGGATTGTCCAAATTCTGGACCCCAAACGTGGGGATCGCTACCCACGGCAGCGAAGCTGGTTCGCCGTGTGATCGACACGTTGGGCCGTTGAAGGTCTTGACAAGAGTGTTGGAGTGATTGACATATTGATGGAGCGGGAGAAGCATCCTCAAAGCTACATGGTCAATCGCTCCTATATATGAGAACAAACAATAATCAAAGAAGCACATGTTGCTTCAACACATGTCCGAAACCATCTGACCAATTTTGTAAGGACTATTCCTCAGAACACGCATCAAAACACCTCTTGGGGTCATGGAACTCCCTCCCTCGATGGTTCAAATTCTTTCACCGGACCCTTTGCAGGTTTTTTCAGAAGTCGTGGCCCACCAGTGATGAAACATCGCCGGGTCATCCCGAACAACCATGGTTTTCACCATGGCAACAACGACTTTCCACCGCTACTTCCGTTCCCACACCTTTCTACAACCATGGTGACATCACCTTTCTACTTTCACGCTACTGGAAACCCACATCGTTCGCCGGGGTCCGAGAAGCGGACCTAGAAAATAGGTACATGGTAGTACATGGAAAACCGATGGCTCCAAAAACGGGCACCGCCCTCTGCGCTTCAAAAGGCAGGCCAACCGGTCGCGCGCGTTGACGCGAGATGTGCCAACTACAGGGCTGATGGTTGGTTCAGAGATGTCTTATGTCTTAAGATATCTTTTGAATAGAATGGGTCAATGTAGGTCCCACAGATGGTTGGGGGATTGCCAAGTCACAGCTGTCGCAGGTGAATTCCTGAAATGACCGTGCTGAAAAAATTTAGAAGATGTGGCTTTCCATGGAAGTTCGCGTGTTCGCCGCCGCGTGGAACCGCGGGTGCCGCCTGCGGCTTCCACGACGAGCTCGTCGATGTCGCCGTCGTGGGGCACGCGCCACCTGCGGTGGGGAGCTGAGGTGAGTTGGTCTTCATCGACTCGAAGAACTGCATCGATCGACGCGTCGCTGGATTTACTGGCCCCTGCTGAATCTGCTCGGACGGAGACGGAGCTCGGGAGACGGTGGGGTCGGGGTCTGGCGCCAGGTCCTAAGGGATCTAAAGGGTCACCCTAAGCTTACCTCAGAGGGTCCAAGGTGGATCACTCCGGGGCAGCAGCTCGTGCGTGGCCGGACCCGTTGACCCCCGTTCCGCGCGGCCAGCCGGGTGAGTTTACGAAGAGATGAACATGGAACCAGGTCGACCCACCACGTCGGGTTGGTAGTCGGAAAAGAGTCGGACCCAGTCTCCATGCCATCAGGTTCCATGTGGGGTCTCTTCCCGGGTGTATGGCTTTCAAAAGAGATCCTGTACAAAAGGAAGGGTCCAGGACTGCGGAAACAGCCAATTGTTTCTGGCTGCGACTGGGTTTCCAGGCTAACAAAAAGATGGAAGTGGAGGGAAACCACCTGTTTCAAGCGTGGGTTTACCCAGTCCCAACGACCCCAAAACGGGTGGTTTATATGGCGAGATCCGCCATACAGGGCCAATGGGGAAACATCTGATACACTTGGAAGCCATGTGGACTGGATCTCCTTTCTTTATATCCTGGTACAGATCGCTTGTTCTTGGCTTTGATGTCATGCCGCATGCGTGCTTTAAACGGAGCTCTCCTTGGAAGATCGCTTGTGGACAATGGTTTCGGTGGAAAATGCGGAAGCAAAGAAGCCAAGAGCAATCTCACTTGGACCTCATTTTGCTGAAGTTGATCAAAACACAGAAGCTGGTGGCACACAGTTGAACGATGCCTCTACAAGTGTTTTAATTGACAGTATTGAGGTATATTGAGGTCTGAGGTGTTCAGTATCATGTCATCAGATGTTGATATTGATGTTCCCTCTCAGGGTCCTTCAGTGAAATGCTTGTCCCCATGGCGTTCCCGTGCTACCCTGGTGAAACCGCAAGTGTCACCCACCCCAACAAAGGTAGCGAACGTGACCTGAACGAGTCGGACCCGTAACCAGGGGGTACTAGTACCGAACTAGGATAGTCGAAGGTTCGGGTTCTGACCCACCTCTGCTGGCCCACTTCGGCTCCTCACTGCACTCGACTTTTTGGACTCCCCTCAACCACGACCGCCACAGCACCGCCACAGCGGACGAGTCGTGCTACTGTGAGCGAAATTGGATCAACAGATGCCAGCGAGTCGCGGTACGGCGACTCGTCGAAGGTCGGTTTTGGGGGGGGGGGTTCCGTTGGGATCACCAGAATGCTGAGATTTGGGAGCCAAGAATGCACCCTAGGGATCCAGTCGTACCGAACCTCAGAAGGTACGACTGGACCCTCCAAGCCTACATAAGAGTGTCTTCAATCACCTTCTGAGAAGATACTTGGATCCCTAGGGGCAGCGTGATTTACGGTCTTTTTTTCGGCATTCAGATTGGATTGATGGACTGGGTTGACGGATGTATACCATGAACTTCTGCACCAGGACCTCTCACTCGCCTGATGGAAGCATCTGAATCAGTCATTGCTACGTATCGCAGGGGCAGGTTCTAGATTCTAGAGAACCAATCATTGAAAACAAACCTTTTTTGGTGGCTCAAAAAGGAGCTATCATTCCATCATAGCACCCATGTAAAGCGACCAGGCCACCTGAGGACCTGCCTGTCGAGGTCCTACATAAAATTCATGATATCAATGATATTATAGCATATGATATTATACCCATGATTACCCATGGGACTGCCATATGTGCCGATCAGGCCAGGGGTGCTTTGGGAGTCAATATTGGAGATTCATCCCTTTTGAACCGTGAAAACCGGCTCCGGAACTGCCATATTTGCCTATACATTGGTGTGCTTTTCAGAGTCAATATTGGCATACACGGAGTGTCTGGAGATTCATCCCTTTTGAACCATGAACACCAAACTTCCAACCGGCTCCGGAACTCTCTCATCAACCTGACACCGGCAACTCCCGCGAAACTCGTCGCTGGCAACGTTGACCCGAGCGATTAACGGCGTCCCTCAAACTGCGCTCCGGTCGTGCAACCGCGCTTCGCGCGGGGCGGTCAGCCATGCACCGGGGGCGCGGGTAAGCCGGCGCGAACGGGGTGAAATGGTGACGGTGATGCTGAGGTTCAGAGAATGGCGGAAACGATCCATGAAGGTTCCCCGAGCGGGTCAAACAAACAGGCCCCATGTTTGATAAAACCCGAGCTTCAATGTCAACCCAGACACTCCATGTATGGTATATATTCCGATCAGTTTGGGGTGGGCCATGAGGGGTCAACTGATCGGCATATATGGCAGTCCCATGTGTCGCGTCTGGGCAATAACATGTAACTTTTCAGTCAAATACCAGCACCTCCAACAGGTCACCAATTGAATCCTGTTAGGACCTAACAACCCTCCATTTCGGAGACCTGTTGGGTTCGGTGCTGATATATATATATATATATGTCCAATGGAATGGCCCATTGAATCGGGGAGAGCTCCCAGACCTAAGGATTGATGAGAAAACCCGCCCGGTCTGTTCTCCCCAGCCGGAGGAAATTTGGCCCAGAACGGGTAGGAACTCCTTATGGATGGTGAACATCACCAGCACCACCCAGTTTGGGTGGTGGATAGAAAATACATCTTCAAGGGGGTCTATAAACCACCCAAACTGGGTGGTGCTGGCAGTTGTTCATTACTGGTGGTTGGGAGCTGGCCTGATGTCAAAAGAATACAAAGACTCTTTGAGAATTCTCACTTAAGAGGATTCTATATGTATCATCCTGAAAACCTGGGGTCGGTGCCCACCCACTAATTCGTATAACCAACCCAGAAACCAAGGGCCAAGATCTTACAGCGATTGGCCGTTTCATGCGGTTTCCATGTCAAAGCCTGGTGTTGGTGGCTGAAATCTACTAGCTTTTTGTGGAATAACCTTGCCATGTCACAATGAGGACAAAGCATATCAAATTGTCATCCATCCAAAAACGATATGCTCTGGTGAAAGAGGACCCCCTGCTATTCATGGAGGAAGAAAGGAACGCATTTGCGGAGTCATTTTTTTTGGCTATCCGCTTCTGGGATTCTTGCACAAGGGGAAGACTCCCTGCAGTCACAAAGGGGTGCTTAACCATTATCCACTCACTTGGGGACTAAACACAACCCCTTTGTGACTCCTGGTCTTCACTTCTTTCTCTTCCTTTTGCTAGCGGTCCATTCCTGTTATGAAATCACAGCCACATCAATCACTGACAGGCATCCCCCCATACACGGGCCCCCCAAAAATGCCACTCCCGAAAACAAACATGGAAGTGGAGTTCACCACCTATTTGTAGTGGATTTCATCCTTTCGAGGCCATTCTCCACTTCCATGTTAGTCTTCCAGGGTGTATCTTCCGGTTGCATCCCGTTGGCATTTTTTTCCCACACAACGTGATCGATGTCAGTCTCATCTCCAACAGGAGCGGATTTTCAGGGACCGGAAACGGGCTGTTTTCACGGAGCGTCCGGGAAACAGCTTAATTGGTGTTATTGGAACCAAGGCAAACTTCATCAAAGTTGACAACAAGGTACTCCAAATCAAACACCCACTTGCTATTTGGAAGACACCCGGATTCAAGCTAGATGAGCCTCAGCTTCACTCAGCTTCACTCAGCCACCTGTGTTTTTTTCGCTTTCGGGTTCCCAGCGCGCTGGCGCCTTTTCAGCGCTTTCGACCTGCGGGACAGGCGACTTCTTCGACTTCTTCGACTTCTTCGACCAGGTGCGTCACCGGTTTGGTTCGCCTCCCATCGTAGCCAGGTCCGACATCGAAGACCTGTTTGGCCGGCGTTTTTTACGCCGCGCATCCTCTGAAGCACTGCCTGAGACATCGAGACAGAAGAACCATAGACCTGGTCAACTCCGGTTTTTTCTGGCCGGGCCTTGATCCTCGTGCCCGACCGACCTGGACGACGTCGTGGTGGGTTGTTCCAAGATCGATTCCAACCGAACCGACTTATTAGACCTATAGTACCTGGTTGTTCAAAGTGACCGAACTTGATCCCCTGGTCGGTTCGGTCACGAACAAGCCTCCGGACTTCGGGTCACGAAACGGAACCTTCAAAAGGTCACGAACTGAAGAAGCTGGTAAAAATCTGACAAGATGGGGTCCTTTGCCTTGCATCTTTCGAGGAGTGTGGTAGGGCAACACACGGCTGGCCGCACCGTGCAAGTTGTTGGGCCGTTGGCCTGCAACGGCTTCAGGTGAAACGATCCACCCAGTAGCAGATAGAATCATGAAGGGGCCCTGTTGGAGGCTCCAGTCGTATCTCCGATGGTACTTAGACACTCCACACCTACCCCACACACCGAACCTCAGAAAGCACTGTTCGAGCCCCAAAAGAAGGCCCTGTTCGCAGCACCCTGTTGGGCTGTGTGTCAATCAACTCTGAAACGATCCGGAACTCCAACACTTCACCGTCCACCGTCCGCCGCGCCCACGGTCTGCCTGCGAGAAGGTGTCAAAGCGTCTTGCGAGGAGATGCCTGGCCGCACGTCATAGGGACCTTCATAGGGCCTTCTCAGCGAGGTCCTATGAATCCTGTGTTGCGAGTTCGCGCCAAGCATGGCGCCGTGTTGGGTCAATCGAGTGGCGCTAAACCGGACATCATGGGCCTAGCCTTGGAGATTGATGGTGACGGACTCAAGTTCACTCTCGGAGTGCCGTGATTCGTTGAGTGCAATTTTTAATGAACCCTATAGACCATCCCGTAGGTACCCCAGTAGGGTCCCATAAGTTGGGGCTTGGTGGAGCAAGTGCCCTCGAAAGCACACAAGCTCCATTCGGGGCGTGCTCAACCAACACCCTTCCGCCGCACAACATCGTCGTTGGGATGTCCTGATGGTCGGGCGTCGGTGGATGAAGATGCACTGGCATTTTCATGTACGGGTATAATATAATCCAATGATGGTGATTTGGCCATTTCGGATGGCCTGGTCTTGCATCTCAAGCGCAGCAATGGTTTCTGAGCACTAGGGGCAGGGCTTATTGGCTTAGAGGGTCTAGGTTGGGGTGTTTGTCTGCAAATAGTGCGTCGGATGTTGTTACGATCCTTCCATGGCCATGTGTGTCCGCATGCAGTGCAATTGATCTTCCCTTCATCTTCTCGGCCAACAACCTTACCAAGTTTGCGATTCCACTCCAATGTATGTTTACTAGTGGCGTTGTAGTCCGTAAGGAGTTTTTGGAAAACATCGTCTAAGCGCTTTTCACTTTGGTTGAACCCTTCCTTCTCCAAGACTATGGGGGAATCCCGCTGAGCGCATGGCTGACTTGTGATTTTTAGACGTATATGCTTGGATCTAGCCACAAACTTACCACATTTACAGCAAAACACACCAGGCTGGTTATTTGGGCGAGGCTTAAGGACATGACCATTCTGGTCGATCGGCGCAGCTTCAGAAGATTGTGCAGTTCGCGCAGTTTCACTGCGTTGGCCGGATTTGAAGTCTTGGATATACTGTCGCCAAATGTTAACCAGAGTTTGTTGCAGGATTAAGACTTGTTGGTCGGGCATGTTAAGGTGTTGGGGGATGAGGGCAGCGTATTGAGTACAGGTAGGCAAAGTGCGAAAGTCAATGTGTTGAATAGGTTTACGCAGGTCGGCAAAAAGGGGGCAGTACCATGAGATGTGTAGTACTGTCGGGTCACCACCGCAAGGACATTGAACGGGTTGCAAATCTTTTCGATGCCGTGCATCCCGTTCCTCGGTCATGAGACCCCCAACTAGCAGGCGCCTCAGCACCCCCTGCTGCATGAAGATTTGCTCGTCGGCGGTCATTAGGGCAAGGTGATCTAATTTTTTATACAATAGAAGGGTCCTTCTAAAGTCGAGATTAGTCACATCGTGAAAGTGCTGGGGCCTATTTTTGGCGGCTTTTTGCAAAAGTTCGGCCCTCCAACAGTCACGTAATTGATGTGCCCATAGCTCAATATTAAGGACTTGGTCATTTATCAGTTGCTTCACGAGTGCTTGGAAAGGTCCTTTCAATATCCGCTGTACTCGACTGACTGGACCGTCGAAATTCCGGCTTGACTTAGCACGAAGCAAATGTTGAAAGTCCCGGCGAAAAGTAGGATTATTTAAACAGCGCGCTAAGGTTCGAAGGCCTTGATAGGTGTGACCGAACAAGGGATCAAGTTGCGCTGGCAACAGAATGGCAAAAGACAAATGAGTGTTGTGCGAGTAAAAATCGAGCGAGAACATTGCCCGCATGATGCTAGATCTGATACGGGTCAGGGTCGGTTCATCCATACCACAAGAATGAGTGCCCTGGCCATAAGTGGCTTGGGAGGACGTGGCAAGGAGCATCTTGGACTTGTCCCGCCAGGGGAGAGGACAATGTCGCATCCGTATTACGGTTTTATGCCATTTTGCAAATCTACCTTTTTCAACCTCGGAGGCGTTCGCTTGCTGGTGTTCTGTAACAAAGGAGCCGCCCACAATTTTAAAACGTTGCAAATGTGGAAAATCAACATGTATTTTGCGTTTCAAGCAAGGGTGTCCAAAAGTAAAGCTCTTCTTAGTGGCAATTTCACCGAATCGGATTTCTTCCAAAGCACGAACAATGCGATCAAACTTAGCGATGCTACGAGTGAGGTCCGCAGTCGTGGAAGAAACACAAGATGCGGAGACATCGTCGGCGTAGGTACGTGCGACAACTTCGGGGCACTGAATGGATGCAATTTCAAGAATACAGGATACAACTGCATTAAGTCCTATCATTGACAAGGGGCAACCTTGTAAAAGGCCGTTGTTGGCAGACCACCAGGGTCCGCAGGAACCTCTAAGACGAAAGACTCTGTGCAATGAGCTGTAAATGGCTTTGAGTGGGTTGACAATTCTCGGATGCATTCCCCTGGCAACCAAGGCACTGAAAAGCAGCTCGAAGGGGACCAGGTCAAATGCTTTGCGGAAATCATAGGCGACTCCTCCTGCCGCGGACTGTTGTTCGACTGCACACTTCTCCAGATGCAGTGCAATCTGAAGACACATGGCTTCTGCCCCTCTTTGTTTACGACAACCCCATACCTCTTTATGACACCACTGTTCCTGCCATTCAAGAGAAAGGTTGAAACGGGCTTTCGCCCATAAGCGGTAAATGGCACTAAGAACCGAAATGGGACGAAAATCCACGGGTTTAGGGGAATCAGACATACCATCCTTTGGTATTAAAGCAGTATACGCCTTACATAATGGGGTGGGCCAAATGGAGTGCTCTTCAATCCAATTAAGGATATCCGCTAATCCATCATAGATACCCGGGAACCATTTACCCGGGAACCCCAGTAGGGTCCCATAAGGTCACTTGACCTCTCTTGGACCCTCTCAAATGACCCTTAATTAAAAGAAACCTAGCGTGAATCTGAAGAGGTTCTGGAAGCCATGGGAGGTGATTCATCAAGAGCCTTATATACAAAGGGGGAATTCCTTAAGGTTTCACCCGAGAAAAGTACCAAACTTCCTGCACATCAACTCATGGATTGATGCATGGTGGATTTGATGGTTCACTTATATAACTTAACTTCTTAAACAACAAATATAATTACTGAACCCTAAGAATCCGGGCCCTCAAACAGATAGGGTTTTGATTAGATGTGAGGTCAACGGCTATGTCATTTTATTAATCATGGTCTGGCATTAATTTATTTTAACCGATCCTTTTAATTTCTAATTGAAGGTCATTTGTGGAGGAATAAATTAATGCCAGATATAAATTAATGGTTCCCTTTCTTTTATTTTCGTAGTCAATGGTGTCTCTTATTTTGCTTGTGCCTGTCTTTCTTATTTGGGGCGTCCCTTGTCACTTTATAATATTTATGGAGGCCCCGGACCCCTGCCAAGGGGTCGGGTCCGACCCCTGCCATGGAGGACAGCCCGAGCTCGGATTCTTAGGGAAGACACCGAAGACCATGCGAAACCTTCGTGTACAAATGCAGAAACATAGTTTCTTTAGATGTTCTTTCAATCCAAACGCCTAGGTCACGATCAATTCCCGAACTCGGGGGGCATTCTGTTCTATGAACATCCAGGGTAAGGAATTATATAGCTACTAAGATGCCACAAAGCCATAGCTATATCTCTTCGGATCATTGTAACTATATGCTCATTTGGAGCAATCTTCGGGTTTGCTGTCTGCAATCACATGGTCCCCTAACAAATGGGGCTCAAACACAAAAGGCGCAGCTCTAGCGCCCTACCTATGTATAGGAGTCACAGGGCCCTACCTACGCCTCCACGAACGTCGGTGAGTTGGGCTCCCGCACTCGGAAGGCTTCCGTCCTGGCAGCGTGAAACGGCAGGAGCGGCGACAGGCCGCGGCTTATGGGCTGCACTGGACAGGGGAGAAAGGCACCCAAACGCTCCCGTTTGGGCTCCTGGCCCATGTCCTCAGAAGGTGGTTAGACCCCCTATCACGCACCCCAACCACCTTCTCAGGAGCAGGAGCCCTAGGGGCTGAAAACCGCCCTGGCATTGGTGGCGACATGAGAAACATCGGGTGTGATGGGATCGGTAGGTATTGGGGTTCCCGGGGTCGCATCTGGATGGGCCTGATCGAATTGATCCACCAAAGGCATCGCAAGGCTCAGCCACGACACGTTTCTCCGGGACTGCCATCATAGGCACTGCCTTCATGTCTCGGTCACCGGGGTGGTTGACCAGGGGTCAATGGGGCGACATAGATACCAGTCCCAGACGTGTTGTGTCTGGGATGTTTGAGCTCCAAAGAGCTGATGAGCGATGAGGGTCCAAAGCCGTCGGGCCCAATTCTGTGCAAGTCGTCATAGGATCTGGGCTTGCCTTCAGTCCACATCTGCCCACACCGATGCGTCTTTTGGAGGATTCGAAGAAGCCAAAGGCTCATTGGATATACGTACATTGGACCCTCAGATCGCTAGGGTGACATGACCCTCACAGCCAGGGTTTTGGACCTCAAACATGTAGCAGTTGGTTCGGGTCCAGGGTCGCCTCTGGGAAGGTACACTCCCTGGAACTATCGAAGTGGATGGCATGGCCCCTTTGGAAAGACTATGAAAGACCATATGGTCCAAAGATCAATCGAGGTGGTTTTCACTCCACTTCCCATGATTTTTGTCGGAGGGAAGACTGTGAGTCATCAGACATGAGAATCTTATACCATCGATCCTTCTTGATACTCTTCTTGATGTAGACTCTTGATTAACCCCAATTAATCAAGAGTCTGCATTCGGTGCCCACACATGGAGCTTGGAGGGCCCTCGTTGTCGCGCGTTACACCTCCGGAAAGGATGGTCTTGGTGTCCGGTGGCTCGTCACCGAATGCTTCATGTCGGGCATGCCGTTTTTGGGCATGTCCAGGTGTGTTCTCCTTTTCGGAGGGCACAGTATGGTGAGTCGAACAGGGGGGCCGCTTTGGAGGTGCCTTCCATTTTGCTTGGAGAAGGGAAGCAGGGTAGACTTGATGCATAAACAGCGAAACCACGGACATCTACCAGGACCCTCCAACAGGCTGTTTGGAGACCCTAACAGGTGGTTTCTGGGCACCTGTTGTCACCAGGAAGCACCTGTTGGAGGGTGCTGGTAGGGAATTTGCAACAGAATCCTTGCTAAACTGGCTCCAAGCTAGACTTGTGGAATTGACCGACAAACTTTTGCATATCGTATGATACAAGCAATGCCGACTTCCCCTGTGTCCTACTCAATGCTCCTGATATTTACCCCGATGCTTCACTTGACCTCCTTCCAGCTGCAGTTCTACGTTGTTCTAAGGAGCACCCAATCCATCCCCCATGCCCAATATCCAAAAAACTTCTGTAAGCAGGTAAAGAGCCAGGTTTTGCTGGTCCAACTGGACCTGTAGGGAAAGAGTCAACTCCACCACCAAAGACCCGCGCCTTTGGGAACGCCAGGTGCGAGCACCCTGGGATGGTGGGATGGTGCAACCGGACAGCGAATCGATTCCTTGGATCAAACACCAACAACCTTTAGGGGGGGAGCACCTGCCTCAGGAATGTCGCGAGAAGGAGCTCACCTCTTTCATTGAGGGAACACTGGAAGGGTCCAAACAACCCCGACCAGGACATCAAAACCTAGAAATCTGAACACCCCAATACCTCCAAGATCCTCCAAGGGATATTTTTTTTGCTCTGCCCTCTCCAGCTAGAGGGGGAAGATCTTGCCCTTAAGGCCTTATGGACAGCGGTGAATGAAGCTTCACATCGAGTTTGGCAGTCTCGAAGGTGTGGCAATCACGGGTCACAACATGCTTGAGCCAACTCCGGGCCAACTCCGGGCTGTTTGAACATCTCTGAAATTTCATCAAGGCACCTGGACCAAACCAACAGGCCCCCTGCAATCCGCCTAAAAAGTTGTGGAGATGCCAAGAACAAAAGAAACTACCCTGGTATGTAATTATACTCAAAGCCTCCCTAGAACCTGCCAACAAAAAATGATCCCACTACCTGCCAATATATTATGGTCCTTAACCTGCAATCCTCCCTAAAACCCGCCAACAAAGCCATTCTATTATGCCCTTAAACCTCTGCCTTCTCGCTTTCTGCTTTTTCTGCGCTACTCGCGTGTCCGAACGTGCGTCGCGCTCCACCAGGTCCACGAGGCCCACGAGGTCCACGAGGTCCGCGCCTCTTCTCCGCCCGGGCCGTCCTTCTGCTCCTGATCGAACGAGTCGTGGTGCCCGGACGGTGCATGGCAGCGGTGGGACAGGGAGGACGCTCCACCATTGGGTCGGTCCGTGCTCCATTCTGGACCCGGTTTCACAAGCGTTTCACAAGCAAATTACTATGTTTGGAACAAGGGCCTGCAACTGAACCATCATTATCCACTGGGCCCTGGGAGCTTAGGATAGACCCAAGCTATACATGCTGAACTCACGGGGATCTACTTTTCTTCTAATTATCTTATATAGTTGGGGGGTTCTTCCCTCAAATCGAAACATGCGTCATTGTGAGTCATGTGTTGATGTCAAACAGGCTGGCAGGCTCTGACAGGCACAGAACATGGTCCTCCGAAATCGGGACCATGTTCTTCTGCAAAAACACCAAGGTGAAGTGATTCAGATCATAAACATGCGCACACAGCACCACGAGGTGATTTACAAAGGATCAAAGGGATCCTCATCCGGTCTATCAGTTTTTACGAACCTCTCTGATATCACGGTTTTGTTGATTTTGGTACTGGTCAAACAGTAAGATACCCTCCCTGCAACAAACATGGAAGGGGACAACCTTTAAGTCGATCATTTCATGGTCTTTAAAGTGGCCATGCCATACACGCAGCCATGATTGTTGGAGAGAGGGAAACCATGCCCCAGACACGTAACCATGGGTGTGTAGCTCAACAAGGGCTGCTGGGTTGGGTTGGGTACATCCACTGAGGCGATCGGTGTCTCCAATACACATCCAAAAGCACCCAGCGAGTTGGCATAACCAGACGTGACGAATGGGACTGCCAGTTCGGACTGCCGCCCCAGACACGCCACCCCCAAAGCCACCCCAATGTATGGAGCATATGCCAGTCCCATCAGTCGCGTCTGGCCCTATGTATTTCAATAGCTCCACCCTCGATCGAGCCCCTGCCAGGGTGGACTGATCGAACTTGAGCCGAACCTTCTCCGAGCACCCAAAAGCTCCAACAGAGGTTGAAGGACCCTATAGACCATCCCATAGGTACCCCAGTAGGGTCCTAGTTCAGGTCACTTAGCCTCTCCAAAAGCTCGGAAGCTGCCGAACCTTCCCTTCCGCCGAACCGCGGACGCTGCGGACGTACGGACGTCCCGGGCAGCTCGGAGCTCGGTCGGTCCTTGGGGGGTCTGAGCCGGCAGGTCGGTGGCAACTGGACCTGGGCCAGTCTGCAGGTTGAAAGGAGGAAGACCTGCAGCCCTAACGCCTAACGAGACCCCACCCGACGTGACGAGCTGCACAGGTGTTTCCTGATGACAAGTCCGGTGTCCAAAAACCACCTGGGGTCGGGTCTCCAAACAGCCTGGCCAGGAGGGTCCTGGCAGCTACTGCACCCAATATGATACTATATTTCTGGGTGTGAAATGGGCGTATTCGCATGGACTGGACTGCCGATCTGCGGTTCATCCTGAACATCTGCCACCTTTTTCCGGGTGTGACCGCTGAACCTTGCCTAAACTTAAGGAACTTGAATGCAAGTCTTGCGGAATCGTCACGGAGCCATGTGTTTTTCATTCCTCAGTACGCTCAGTACTCCTGGGTCCTTGCAAGACCCAGTAGACCCAGTCACTACTTCTCGGCCAGGCCAAACGCCCTGGGTCGACTTGCTGGTTGCTACCATCCTCAAACTCCCTTTCTTTCCCAGACACGACCCATATAGGACTGCCATGACGGACTGCCTTCAAAACGGCCAGACCCCGTTACTGGCCCACCCCGGTGACCGAGACATGAAGGCAGTCCGGACTGGCAGTCCCGGAGAAAAGTGTCGTGTCTGGGTTTTTGGGGCCAACGAGCAGAGGCTTCTTCAGAGGCCTTCCTTCGATCTTCCGCATCCCTCCCCCCCAAAAAAAGGGGGGTCTCTATCTACACGTGGGAGAGTCGACTGAGGTCTTTTGTTCAACCTCTTGGATCCTGAAAACCACGTGTTTCTGTTGGGGGTGCTTGGAGTTTAAACATGTTGTATCAGAACATATCCACGCCATTTTCAGGAAGTTCATCCTCCTCCTCATGAAAACGAATCGCGGCATCACATGGCTGTGGGTGAAACGGGTGAAGACCACCGGGATACCTTGCTTGACTGACCTTGACTGACCTACCACGTCAAGCTCGCCTTCACCCTGTGGCTCCAGTTCGACTCCCCACCTGCGCGTTGGCGAAGGTGCTTCGCACCTGAGGGCGACCGAGGCGACCGAGGCGACATCACACACCAATTAACCCTAGGGCTCCTGGCCCACCTCCTGAGAAGGTGGTTGGGGTAGGTGCCAGGGGGGTCTAACCACCTTCTGAGGATATAGTTGGAGCCCTAGGGTAACCAGGAGTCACATGGAGTCACCAAATGCCATGCCCCTTTTTTGGGGGTGGAGAAGTGGGGAGGAGCTGGGCACCCCGACGACCTCCATGGAGTCCGCACCCCGTCGAACACATGTCTGTTTTTCCATGTGCGTTGGCCAAAGACGTCATGTCCGCAGCATGCATTTTAGTTAGTCTGGGACGGGATGATCGTCGGGGCCCAAGATCAACACAAAAAAAACACGAAGATGATCGTCGGCGCAGCCGACTCGGTGTCCGGGTGACGTGCGGAGTTGGGAAGCGAAGTGAAGACTTGTCTTATAATGCGCAAGGCTCTGAATTTCCAGCCTACTACAGATTAGAGTTTATTGGTCATCCAATGCCCAATTTACCGGCTCAGATTATGGTGTTATGATGTTTGTTCATGTTTGCTTGCTATGCAAGAGTTCCAATGAAAGGAAACCCGTTGCTGATTCCCGGGTGCAGGGAAGCAGGGCAATTTCAGAACCCAATTTTTTGAACTTCCTCGGAACATGAATGAGGGCCGGCCCAACATAGCGAAGTGAATAGACATGTCAGAATCGTGTCTGTTCGCAACATGTTACAACGGGTACACTTTTAATTCGGTAGTTTACGATGTTTGCGTTTTTTCGTTTTTTTTTTTCAATATCCTGGGGGCTCATTAGTTCGCTGCTACTTACGGCAACCTAGGGAAACGAACTGCGGACTGAGTTTGAAAGAACCGCTTCACCAGCGGGGCTGACACTTAAGAGAAAGAGCTGTAGCAAGCAAAGTACGTTGGTGGAAGAAGTGGTGCAGATTTCGCAATGGTCCGGTGCCCTGGGGCATGGTCGACCTGAAAAAAACATGCGGCTTTCGTTGCGCTGGAGGGAGGTTGGGGGAAGGGCGTGTGCTTGGATGCTTCTGCGATTCCTGCCCCTGCAACACTGCAAGAGGCCATGGGCGACGCCTGCCCAGTTCAAAGAAAGGGCCTTGCAAATTGAATAAACCCCGCGTATGAGTCCTGCCAGGCAGGTACTGCAGCAAGGGCATCTTGAAAGTGAAAAAACGCTTGGGGGTGGAGGTTCTAGAGAAAAGTGGTGCTCCAGGAAAACTGTCTAAAGAAAAGTGCTCACAGGCAGAAGATTATGAACAACAAAAGCTCAACTAATCCGATCTTTCGTTGCACCTGTAGAACGTTGAAACCTAATGGAGCTTCACTCAAAGAAGCTTCACTTTCAATCAGCTCGGAACCAAAAGCGACAGTGTGAGCACACCATTCCATCTTTCAAAGAACCGCAATCAGTGATCCGCCTTGCCACATGAACAAATGCCTGCGGTCGGACCTTTGTCCCCAGCGGTCGGACGTTCAAGCAGTAATTCCCCTTTACGAACCGTCAGACTGAGTGGTAGCCTTCAGGGATGGGTGTATTTGTATGTCGAGAAGAGGGTGAACCCACGTGTGATCTTGGAAAGCCCGTTCCATTCCTGCTTGTGGTATCTGAAAGCTCTGCCCATTGCTCTGCGATCGCATTCTATCCACTTTTGCAATCAGCTGACAGCTGACACCTTGGAAAGGATCGCCGTAAAGCAGAAGACAACCAATTCGATGTGTCTTGTCTCGACAAAGATTTTGCGGCCCAATTTTCTAACGAAGAAGTGCTCGCATAGTGCTCGCTTTCAGCCCCTGGTCGCTTGGATGGCCGCTTTGATGGCCGCTTCTGGAAAGCCTGTCACAACTTGCAGCACGCAAAAGTCAGCTACCTAATTCAAGTCTTCTGGCCATGGTCCTTCAGTTGAGGCTGTCGGAGTGCAGCACGAACTTGGGCAAAGTCTTGTAATTACCTTAGATTTTGTTTGAAACTTGGCTCAGGTGCTTGTACCTTGTCTTCAGGAAGGAATCCTTTTGAGCTCAGGCACTTTGAGCAGCTGTGAAAGCTCTGCCATCGCACCCCCATGCACCTACTTGATGGTGAAGAGGCCATATTCAAAACATCACTTGCGCGCGCAAAAGTTAACTCACGTGCGCATGAATGAACCCTTGCCCAGGCTGCGACTCACTTGCGCACACAGGCATGTTGTTGCAAACTTTACTCGCGGGTGGCTCACAAAAGGCCTGCTATGTTGGAATGGCACCTTCCTCCTCCAAATGCTTCGTCGGGTACCTCGCAAAAGGTTTGCTACCTTGCAATGGCCCCTTCCTCCTCTAAATATCACCATCAGGTCTCAGAAATGGGCAGCTGCAGAAAAGCGGCAAAGGCAAAATCTGCTGGAAAACATTCCTTTAAAAAACACAAAAAAACTCACACTAAAACAATCCCCCTCCTATTACAACTACCCCAGCAACGATGTAAGTATTCCATCGACTATGTGGGATGGCCGTTCATGGCAGTTCTCAACAATGACATCCCAATCCTATGTGTATTACCCAACCACGGGCGTCTCCGAAAGGAAGGTACCAGGAGCGCTTGGGGTGTTCAACCGGAGATACATCTGTTAACAGCAGCGGTTGATCATGTTGATCATGTTTGTCTTTTTGTAAAGACCCCCAAAGAAAGAAGTTCGTAGATCTCCATGTATGTCCCAGATGCTCCATGGGACTGCCATATATGCCTACATTGGAGTGGTTTGAGGGGTCAATGTAGGCATATATTCCATACATGGAGTGTATGGGTATTGACAGGAACCCGCTGCCTATTTGGGGACAACCCATTACCCAGACACGACACGTAGACGGGACTGCCAGGACGGACTGCCGAAGCAAGCCAGACCCCTCATGGCCTACCCCGGTGACCGAGACACTCAGCAGTCCGTCATGGCAGTCCCAGACGTATCGTGTCTGTCGGGGTTTTGAGCTCCAAAGACTATATGTTATTGCACTACAAGTAGAACTTGATGATACTTAAAGTATCTGAGCTAGCCTCAAGTAGGGAATAGTCACAAAGTACATTCATGTCAAACATGTCGTGTTCCGTCCCTTCCACCCAATTTCACGGAGTGTTTCCGATGGATTCTGATGGATTCATGTGGATTCATATATCAGGACCCTCCAACTCAACAGGTCTCCGAAATGGAGGCTTGTGCAGGCGTTTTCAAGTCGCAGGTGGTGACCTGGCAGGTTTCGGGCGCTGGTACAGTATGGATTCCTGGTCTTGGATTCATCCCAGCCCCTATTACATCTCCATCTGCTCTCCTCCCTTCAAAGCACCCGTTCCAGTGCTTGCTTCACACCTGCCAGTACTTCAACAGCCCAGCTCAGCCCAGCTTCGCCCAGCTCGGGCGTCCCGGCCACGCGCACACGAGTCTCATACCACATGGCGATCTGAGGACTGCCGGCCCTCAGAACGCGCGGGACGACGTGTGACGACGGTGACGACGTGGCGTGAGACTTGTGCCGATGGCACCGGTGAATCTATGGAGATCTACCCCTAGGGATCCAAGTACCTTCTGAGAAGGTGTTTAGGCTGGGTTTGGAGGATGTACTTGGATCCCTAGGGTACTCCATCAATCTGTGAATCGCATGGTTTGGGCCCGAAGCCATCGGAATCAATACATCTGAATTGGTGGACAAGGCGCTGACAAACCGCTGATGTCCGAAGACCCGTTGAATGCTTGAAGGCCACGAATGCCAGGAACAAGGTGCTCCAACCTATCTGTACATGATCCACTTGGACTTCCGCAACATCATGTTTCCTCAACCAATCAATAATGGGAATACATGATCTCTTCCCTCTGGAGGGTCATGGCTCTCTCTCTCTCTCTCTCTCTTGTGAGCACAGGATAACATGTGAGGGTAGCCTGGATATGTTCCAAATCCCTAACAGGACCATCCTGTCGGGGTGTCCTGGCTGGACTACCCCACACGACCGGCCTAGACCTATAGGCTTCCAGACAGGGCACCCTGACAGGTGTCGGGTGCTGGTATGTTTCCATCTCTTTTTTCCCCCCAAACCGACTCCCTGAGTTTCCCTTAAACATAAAGGATCATGAGTCCTTAGGGATCCAGTCGTACCTTCTCAGGTTCGGTACGACTGGGCCCGACCCTACTTGGCGCCTACATCAACAGTCTCCAATCACCTGAGGTTCGGTACAACTGGATCCCTAGGGAGTCATCACCCTTTTCCAACAAGGAGTCATAACCCTGATATAGTTATACTAAGTATAGCCCTAGTATACTCCCTAGGGAGTCATGCCCATGCTTGTTCGATATGACTGGGGACAAATCTCTCAAACAAGCGTTGCCCCCATCCACGTTTGGGTCAAGTCGTCACATCTCCCGGTCACGAGTCTGGTCTTGTTTTGCACCGGGTGCGTCGACACTCCGTTTTCGTTCAAAACACCAACAGAGGTGGGTCAGGACCCGAACGCCTAGACTATCCCAGTTGGGTACCTCAGGTCTTTCCCGGGTCCGACTCGTTCAGGTCACGGAACTCGCTACCTCTCTTAGTACCCAGACACTCCATGGGACTGCCATATATGCCTACATTGGGGTGGTTTTGGGGGTCAATGTAGGCATATATGGCATACATGGAGTGTCTGGGGTATGGAATGAGGCCCACTTCAGATGCCCGACACCGGTCTCAGCATCTTTCGACCCACGCGCGGAGCGCGGTCTGAGCGCATCCCTCGGGCGGCCCGGACCAGGCCCAGAAGCGCGCGAGGTGCTGGTAGCGCAGCAAGGGGTCCAAGCCCGTCTGGCGCGGGTTGGAGTGACGGATGGGTGCTGGGTGGAGGTGGAGGTGCTGGAGGTGGTCGTTCCGGTAGTTTCGTACACAAGGAAAACAGGCTTTGGAAGATCGAAACACGTGGGGTCAAGAGCTTACACTAGACAAGTCTGGTTGGTAGTGTCAATTCAGAAGAAATATGAGTCAGTGCAGTGGGTTCTCAGATCATCCCAAGTAAAGGTTAAAAAGATAAATATCTGAACACCCAGTCTTATAGTTGGTTCCAGGGCCAAGCTGTAAAACATCGACCCATCATTGGCAATGCTACAGCTTTCAATATGTTCAGCCACCTGCACCTGAAAATCGGACAACCTTGCAGGTGGATGCCTACTATGTGCTTCAGTTGTGCTTCTTCTTGTGAAATGTCAGACCCAAAGCCCACCTGAACGAGCTCGGCCCCGAACCAACATGCTACATGTTGGTGACGGCTCCATTTCACCCGATCGCAGTTTCGGACCAAGGTCACCACCGCGATCGGGTCTGAGGCTCCTGCCACTGAGCCCGGTGCCGCCACTGCCGGGACGCCGGGACAGGAGACACCCACTGCAAGTGTCATACTTCCACAAAATCACCTATACTGGCAGGACAAGTTAGTGGATTCTTGAAGAGGTTTTGCATCTAAGGACTCACATCTGGAGAAAAGCACTAAAGACAATACAGATATACCAGCACCGTCATGTGGGGGTCACCAATGGAAGCCCCTACACCACAATATATAATTAAGGGATCTCCAGTATAAACACGCCTTAAAGGTCCAGGTATACGCACACATCTTCCAGCACCTTCCAACAGGTCTCCGAAATGGAGGGTTGGGAAAGGCCCTAACAGGTTTCAATTGGTGACCTGTGAAGTCGGTGCTGGTTTACAAACATGGTGAAGGACCCCTGGGCAGCCCCGACCTGCCACGCCGCGCCCAGTGAAAATATGACATCAAAGACAAACCCCGACGAATTCGTCGGGGGCACCACGAGGTGCAGCTTCTTCAAGCAAACCCCGCAGAGGTATGGCCTCGGCCGTTGCATCAGCTGAGCGGCACGAGAAACCACCCAACCAATCAGCGACCAACAGAGGGATTCAAGGACCCGAACGTTCGCCTATGGCCAGTTGGGTACCCCAGGTGACGGTCCGATTTACGGTCACTTAACCTCTCTTGCTAGCTGAGTGAAGAACCTTTCTTTTCTCCCACAAGATCAAGGGGGTCAGAGTCTCGGTGGGACTCTGTACATCAAACACGAAGGCTGTGAAGACCTCTCTCCGGCGAGAACCCTCCGTCGCGCTCCCCGCGCACATCGAATCCCTCCTCTTGGCTCCTAGGGACGAAGAATGGAGGCACTCAAGGACTGGCGGCGTCTTCACTGGCCACGCCGAAAACATGAGCTCCTATGTTTTTTTCCCACCCAAACGCTTCGTGACTTCACAGCCCGTTCCTGGTCGCAAAGCAAACCAGGGATTGGTGAGGCCCAGACCCCTGGCCAGTTCGGATGACCGGGGCCGGAAGAACGGGTCCCGTCGACGGGCAATCAAACTGCCCTTTCCTGGCTGGGTCCTCAAAACCAGGATTGGTGAGAAACCCCAGACCCCTCCATATAATCCAACAGAGGTGGGTCAGAACCCATTGTCTCGGACTGGAACACAGAGACCAAAGAGTTCGCTACATCTTCAACAGAGGTGGGTCAGGACCCGAACTAGACTATCCCAGTCCGGTACCCCAGGTCTTTCCCGGGTCCGACTCGTTCAGGTCACGGAACTCGCTACCTCTCTTGGTTAAGGCTCCAGGGTCGCGTCGGCAGTTTTCACACCCCAAAACCCGCCCAGGTCCCTTGATACGCCGGGTGAACTCTCACAACCTCCTGGGGCCCTGGCGGTCGACCGTCCGCCTCCTCCTGGTGCGCTGCGCCATTCATCAAACACCGGAAGTAGCCTCAGCACCGCAGGTCACCGCAAATCCAGGCACAGCAGATCGGTTCGAGTCGCATTGTCTAGACGAAAAAAATGACCAGACCCATAGACGAGGGTCTGGTTCCACTGGTTCCTGATGAATTTCTGGTTGCTTACTACCATGGCGGCTGCCGGATCCATGCGCAGCAGGTCCCACCACAGGTCCCAGCACCGGAACCCCCAAAAACGGTTCCGTGACGCTCCTTCGGTCGGTTGGCCATCGCTCCGTGCGGCGATGCTTTGCGGGCTGAGGGGGGGTTCTTGCGGTGGCATACCAACAGAGGTAGCGAGTTCCGTGACCTGAACGAGTCGGACCCGGGAAAGACCTGGGGTACCCAACTGGGATAGTCGAATGGCGTTCGGAGTCCTGACCCACCTCTGTTGAAGATGTAGCGAACTCTTTGGTCTCTGTGTTCCAGTTCGAGACAATGGTGGAAGTAGCCGTAGCCACAAAGGAACTTTGTCAATGCAAAATATTCACCACTGGGCCCCTGTTTGCTGTGATGGCTGCGGGTGGACTGAGTCGACTGAGTTCAGGTATCCCTCATGGATTCTTTCACCCCCAAAACCAACCTCTTGGCTCCGATTCTCGACTCTGTTTGGAACATCCACGCGATTGAACCACCACTTATCGCTCCTGAAATAGTCATGGTCCCGATTTCGGATGGACCTTTACCGGACACCAAACAACTTGGTTTTCACTCCATGTCCAAGTCCCTCTCCCAGACACGACACATGGGACTATACCATACATGGAGTGTCTGGGCATTTCAAGGAGTGTAAGGAGTGTATATGAGTTGGGTCTATCCGAGTGTATCCTATTATACCAGCAACGCTGGATGAGGATGAGGATGAGGATGAGGCTGAGGATGAGGATGAGGAGGAGGAGGATGAGGAGGAGGAGGAGGAGGATGATGATGGTTAGCAAAAGCCTTGTTCAAACATGGTGATTTGCTTGTTTGCTGACTGTTACAGGTAAGAACGGACAGACCCAATATACTGCAATCAGAGACTTTGTAAGAGTCTATCTTCGGCGACCAACTCCTCCCTGGTCAACCGGCCGAACTTCCGCTGCTTCCGCTTCTGCACCGAAGCGTAGAACCCAGGAAACAGCAGCTTCACCCAAGTGACAGCAGTGGAGAACTCCCAGCATGTGAGTGACCTGAAACAGTCCGTCACGGTCTTTCGTTCTACGACCCTTTCGAACCTTACACCCCGCGAAACACCTTGGAGGAGCTGTCTTTATGTTTTGTGCGTGAATGGTGATGTTTGTTCAATCCATGATGGGGGAGGGTTATTGATCAAGAGTCTACATGTTCCCCACAAGAATCCATACCCTAGGGCTCCAAGTACCTGTCAAGAAGGTTTTTGGGGTGGGTTTAGAGGGTCCAAATACCTTCTGAGGAGGTACTTGGAACCCTAGGGATATATACATATAGAATATTTACCTATACATTGACCTTCAGAACATCTCACAACCACCAATCACCAATCCATGAAGGTAAATAGTCCAGTCCTGTCTGGGTTATTTAAGCGCACATGTGACAGAGGGTCATGGTATTGAACAGCTGAGGATTCCCTCTGGCGTGGACAAAGTCCTGGCACCTACACTTACTATCTCAAACCGAACCATTTCCGCATGGCAAGATCCAAACCCTACACCTCCAGTCGTACCTCCAAGCTCCAGGTATTTGGAGATCTTTGGACCCTCACATGGCACCCACCGAACCGTTCCACCGAACCGAAGCGGCTTCGGTACGACTGGAGGCCAAACGCGAAAGGACCGAACCAAGAGTGAACAGGCTCGACCTGAAGCAACCCTTCACCCGGCGTCGAAGGGCTCCAAAACAGTCCAAAACCATGGGTGGGGTCTATCCGTCTATCCGTCTAAGCTCCCCAGGGCCACCCAGTGGATGATGAGGGCATCGAACTTTGCAGGCGGAAGCCGGACCGAGGCGAGTCCGGAGTCCGGACGAGAAAAACGTCAAAGTCCGGAGTCCGGAGTCCGGTAAGACTCACGTCGGGAGTGGCAAAGACTCACGTACGGGAGTGGCAAAGACCCCTGAAAATCAACCATGCCAATGTAGGTGAATACCTAGATCTTCTAACTGTGCAAAATTGATGCCTAACTTGGTTGATTTAATGGATGAAAAGGCAGAAATGACCTGCACGTCGTTGGAAGATCCAAGTACCAGGACCTTCAAAGTGACCTAGAATGAGATCCTAGAATGAGGTCACTTAGAGACTCCAAAGAGGTCACTTAGAGACTCCAGTCAGAGGTCACTTTGAAGGTCCAAGTCCAGGACTTCCGGGGGTGCTTCATGGACCCCTGGGGTGTTTAGTCCCTAAGTGAGTGGATGTTCTGGGCACCCTTAACCTCCATGGATAGCACCCGGTCTTGTGACTGCTGGTATATGATAATTACATGGAGCGGTTTGGGATCCAGGATCATCGTAGAGCTAAAAAAGCACCCCCAATTTGCAGAGGATGGCACCCCGATCATCCGAAATCGGGGCCATCTTCCCCACTTCTTCCCATCCGAGAGGTTAAGTGAAGTGACTAAGCCGTTGATGTGGGGTACCCAACCGGGATAGTCGAACTAGTATCCTTCGACATCTGTTTTTTCTCCCAAGAGTTGGTCCAATTCTCTCCGCCACTTCGACCTGTTCAACCGCACACACGTGGACTTCGAAGCAGAGCACGCCACATGGCGCTCCCCCAGGCCAGCCATGAGACTGGCATATGTACTAGTAGCTAGAAGCTACTAGTAACAAGGGCATCGCTACTACTAACAAGGGCATTACTAACTAGTAGCTAGTAGCTAGAAGCGACTATATTACATAGTAACAAACTCAACAAAGGCGTGTGGATTCTTCGGGTGCTTTCAGTTCATGGAGTCAGAGAGGGCTCCGGCCTGGTGGGTCAGAAACTTCGTCGTCCGCTCCATCACACGGCTGGACAACGGCTCCTCGACGCTCGAAGGAGATCGACGGTCGAGGGGAGCGAGACGAGCAAAGGACCAGGTATTGGGGGGGACCATGGGGGGTGGAGCTGCATCTGCACAGAAGATACCAGTATTGGGGGGTGGGGCATCTGACCAGGTATTGGGGGGTGGAGCTGCATCTGCATGCACGAAGAGGTGCTTCAGTGAATCGTCCAGTCCGGTTTGGATGTCAATCGTCCTGCGCATCCGAATTACTCCTCAAAGCTGCGAGGAAAAGAACACGGAGCTGGGTTCACGTGGTCCCAGTGAGGAGGAAAGCTGGGAAAACACACAAGAACAACTTGCCCTAGAAGGCATTTGGACCCTCTAAAACACGCCCGAAACAGCTTCTCAGAAGGTAACTGGAACCCTGGGGTTGGAAAAGAAAAACAACAATGGAACGTGCTAACGTAGAGATACCTGGAGGCGCCTGCTTAACCCTGCTTCTAGGTATCCAATGTCCCTGTTGGCCCCAAACTGGGGCACACCTCGAGACAAAATCGAGACAAAACCATAATTTGTAGAGTATATAGTTCTAGAATATAGTTCACGCAGTTTCCCCATGCTTTGCCAGGAGTCAGCCTCGTGCTTTGGCGGTCTAAAGTTGGCTTCTCGTGACAGGTGCAGGAGATAGCAGTTTGATGTCGATGTGCTGACTTTGTGCCAGGCGCAGTACTTTGGACATGGTGGTGGTCTTCGGCATGCTCTGATTTTGTGGCAGGTGCAGTGAATCGTGACTTTTGGACATGTGGCTGGTTTTCAGAAATCGTGGCAGGTGCTGTACTTTGTGGACCTTGAAGTGCAGATTTCGTGGCCGGTGCAGTACATTGTGGACCTTAAAGTGCAAATTGTGTGGCAGGTGCAGTACTTTGTGGAACATGGATCGAAGCTGAGCTTTCCGGCGCTCACCGCTGTGTTGAGTTGACTGTGTGGGCCAATCTATTCCGCTGGCGCTCCAACTCCTTGTCTTCCTGCAGCTTCGTCCACACCCCCTCCGCGTTCTGCAAGGCAGTCTCCAAAGGATATAACACCCGCCCCTGCTCTTTGGCCTTTGCGAAAAGCCGCTCCTCCCGGACTTTGGCACGACTCGTGCCTGTGCCCTGGGTACGCCCAAGGAACCTCAGGAGCGAACAAAACATCTTGGGCGCCGCCCTGGCCCTGACTTGCCCTTCTGCGAGCCATGATGCTCGCGAAGGCGGAGCGGGTTTAGTCGGAGCGGGTAGAGGGCCGTTGCGGCGAACCGGCCTTGTCCGCTCAAGTTCCTGTCCTTGCCAACCTGGACAATAAATAGCTTTGACCAACATCTGTGATCCAAAGCTGCAATTTCCAGGGGCAGGCTGCAACGCCGCAACCATTCCACTTGACACACAAAATAGCCAACTGCGACAAGCTTTAGCGATTCTAACCCTTGATTTGCAAAGAGGGCGGTCCTCTTCCGTCAGGAATTCGTCTTGGCCTGGTCTTGGCAACTTAAGCCTTTCGATTTCACAGGCCATCCCCCCCTCAAAAAAGGGGTTTTTCAGCTTCTCCACGGACTGGGTAGGCCCTCTGATGGCGCGCCATCCCCATCCGCGACATCGCCAGGTGGACACTGGAGGGGGCCCGATCCTCTAAGACACTTTCCAGGCTGAAGACGCCCACGCGTTTGGACCTCGGTGTCGAGTCCGTTAACCCGCGGCGGCGGCGACCAGGACCGGTCCCGTCTGCGGAGGTGAAAGGGGGTCCATGAAGCACCCCGGAGGTCCTGGACCTGGACCTTCAGTACGTGACCTCTGACTGGAGTCTCTAAGTGACCTCTTTGGAGTCTCTAAGTGACCTCATTCTAGGATCTCATTCTAGGTCACTTTGAAGGTCCTGGGACAAGGTTACTATAAGTTAACCTGTTTCTACTTGTTCTTGTTGAGTGGGGACACCGCTTCCCCCAAAAAGGCTTTGCAGGTTATCCACGTTTCCTGGCTATGAGGACAGGACTCCACCAGGATCTGCCAGCATCCACCACCACTCTGCAGCCCGTACCAAAGAAATGGTGCCCAAAACCTCATTGGACCCTCACAGCCAGGGTTTGGCACCTCAAACATGTAGCAGTTGGTTCGGGTCCATGAGCCTCTGGGTGAAAGCAATCCTCCCAACCAGTTTCGCCTCCCCTGCAAAACAAGATGCTGTAACAGACCCTTGTGGAGTCGTGCTGCCAGGTAGTACTGAGATAGATAAGATTAGCTAAGTATCACATATCGTACTGCTGACGAGGTATATTTAATATAATATATAGGTATATGTAGATATATACCAGCACCCTCCGACAGGTCACCAATGGTTCGACCTGTTAGGGTCCAACAACCCTCAACTAACAGCCTGGCCAGGAGGGTGCTGGTATATATCTCCATATATCTCCCCTTTTTGAAACCTTCAGGATCAGCATCCGGGAGACCCCTCCAGCGGCTGACGGAGAATTCAGAGTCCACAAGAACCTCTCACATGATGGCTCCCTTTTCCGACCAATCCCTGACCTCCATGTATATTAGATGGACTGTATACACCCAGACAATCTCTGTCAGCAATAGTTTCTTACATTCAAATGTCGGTTCTCAGAACAAACATTCACGAAAATGCTTCATAATTTATGACTTTTATGATTTTTTTTGTGACTTTGGATGACTTTATATGGTTTAGTGTAACTTTGGTGTGACTCTTCATGACTTCTTTTTTAAAGACATAGTATATGTTTGTTTCAGTTGATGACAGTTGTGATGAGTTCTGATGACTTTTCACACTTTCAGTTTAAGAACTTATCTATGGTAATTAATGATGTGCTGTATGTTGTTGTGCATGCTTGCAATTGTGTTACAATGCAGTAAAAGTTTGACTGACCCTTCATCAAAACTCAGGTTTCAACTGCCAGCTGAATTCAACTGAGAGAGGTTGTTAGGCCATGGTCTGAAAGAATGAAAGCCACATGCCCCAGAAACGAAACACTAAGATTTTGGAATGCTGAAGGCTGTGCACTTTACTACCTGGAATCCTCCTGTTTTAGAGTGCGTTGGATTCCTATACCTTCAACAGCACCATCCAAAGAATTTTGTAACATGCTATGTGAGGTTTTGTCTGGCTCAATTTGAAAGACTCCAACTCATTGAGCCCAGCAAACGTTAAGGTTGTTGGTGCTGAGTCCACATCATGGCGCTAATCTAAATTAGTCGGACCATGTCAGACCTTCGAACTTCAACCTAGTGTTTTCTAATGAGAACAGTCCTACCAAGCACATGAGCCTCGCATAAACTCATTAACTATTTAGTGTAAATAGTGCGGCGGATGGCATGCAACAGTCCCGACTTGCTGTTTGTTTTTATTGGGCATTGGTTTACGGGATGTTTCGACCTGGATACTTACTAATCGTTTGATCGGCTGGAAATGGCTGGCCAGCCATGAGCTGTGCTTCATGTACTATCACAAATATGCATCATAATATGCATAGTTAAAACATATACAATATGTACATGTTGTATGCTTATACATCTAACACATGTGTATATATATACACAAAAATGTGGAAAACTGGCTGTGTCAAACCACCACCCAGTGAACCAGTTGGCTCCTTTCACTAGAAGTGTAGGTCGGTTTGCCAACATTTGGTTGTTGTACGGCCCTTATTAAGACTGTAAGAACAAACACAATAAAGTCATGTAGGTAAAACTTTGTCCAACCCCAATTTAGTTCATGCATTTGGGGGAGTTTCATGCCGAAGTTTAGCCAAAAGTGGTGGAAAAAGGCACAACAATGCATTAGGTTGTTCTGGTCTTGTGACTGGGAAGGTTGAGGCAGCCGAGGTTTACACGCATAGACCAGGACCATATCTATCAATGCAACTGCATGATGCTACTTTGCGCAGAATTTGCGTTGCCATCTTTCGTCTATCATTTTGAGGGCCATAGTGCTAAGTAAACTACCAAACAAATAGGTAACGCAAAGGACATTTGATGCGTAGCATAAGCAGTGTGGCTGAGATTTTGAAGAACCAAAACAACCAAATGCAATTAGGTTTTATTAATTACTGGTTTTGCTTTGCAAAGGGGATCATAGCAGCATTGTGGTTCCGCGTGATTTCGCGTGATTTGACACACTATGGAAAAATGCAAATTTATGAATGTCAGTTCTGAGAACATACATTCATAAAGAAAACAGCCGAATGTCAGTTGTGAGAACATACATTAACGAAGATTTGTAAGTCATACGTGATTTAGCGTGATTTGGCGTGATTTAGCGTGATTTCGCGCAATGTGCCTTGATATTTATTGATTTTGGAAGTTGTTCACACGCAGTGCGCCTAAGAAAAAAAAATCTGTCAATATTGTCAATAAGATTCAACAAGAAGTTATATGTTTGCACAATCTCTGGCACTTTACCGTTCTTCCTGTAACATGTGATTGAAGCCCTCTCCCAACAGTTTTTGTTCCATCTCTTTTTCTTGAGACGTCAATACGGCGGTATACGAAGGCTTCCTAAGCTGAACAGCTGCCTGTGCGATTGGCACTTTTGGTATTTATTTTGTTTGTTTGATCATGTTGTTTTGTTTGTTTTTAATGCTGGTCTCGTGCAGCTAGATGGTAGAAGTGCGGCTGCAGCGTTTACATGCTAAGTGTTTACCACCCACACGGAGCAAGTTTTCATCTCCACCAAGTGTTTCAGGAACCCCCATCTTGGAACTCCCCAAGTTTGTTGTGTTTTATGTGTCAATATGGAGCTGATCGAAAGTTGTACTCATGTACCCGCGCAGCTGGTTCATATTTGGTTAGAGAAATGGCCCCAGTCGCTTCTGTTTTCTTCTGTTGCTGTGCCGAACAAATTCTGTGCCGAACTGAATTTCACAACTAGCCCATTGAACACCTTGTAGGGTTTGATTGTATTAGGGACATTGGGTTTAAATAAAGAAGAATTAGATATTATGTAGCGACTGGCGGCAGTTCATATTCTAATTTACTACTTACCATGTAAAACTGCAAAATGTCTCTCTCTCTGTGTATATGCATGTATATTATATATATATAGCTTAGCTGCGGCAAAATGGCGTTAATCAAAAGATTAGCAGAATACGAGACGTCAGGGAATACGAGACGTCAGGACTTTACGATGTTAGCTGAACACCAAATTCAAACCTAAAAAATAAAACATTAAGCAACAACATTTCGGTGAGCCCAATCTATCATGAAGGTTAGACACCCACAGAACTAATTTACCCTTTGACTTTTTCACAATTTGGGAAAGCCACCACAAAAAATGGGAAAATCATGGAACATCAAACGAACAGCAATCAAGAAAGTTTTGACACACACGGTGTTAATTACTTATTGCGTACCACTGCACACTATGGCCTAGTCTGAGCATACCTCTTCATCTTTTGAAGGTAGCGTAAACAAATGGCCAATGTTTGGCACTTTGCACGGGAGTTGCTCCAAAAAAAACATGGAAGATCATGGAAGGCTTGAGGTGCAGAAAGACCTTGTTTATACCTTTTACAAACAACAGGACAGTATTAACAATCATGCCACATTGCAAACTCATCTCAAATCAATCCACATACCAGTTACCAGGACCTCATTTCACAAACTCGCACTAGCTGTCACAAATTATGATTTGTTGGGTGTGTATTTTGAGAACAAAGAAAACTAAGTGTAGAAAACCATGGTAACAAATCCAAATTTCAGCAAGGTATGCGCACTGCAGCTTATGCTTTTGGGAGTTTTTATGAAAATATACAGTTTATGAATGTCGGTTCTCAGAACTGACATCGGCCAATGTCAGAAATAATTCAAACATTCACGAATGTCAGTAATAATTATTGACATTCGATTCTCTGGGACATGACAACATTTGTAGCAATCAATAAGACTTCAAAACCAAAATCATAGAATTCGTATCCCAGTCAGATGGAAACAGTTCAAAGTCATGTCATGTCATTTGAATGTCGACATGTCTCTCTACATCCTCAGGCACCACCCCCATCTCTCCTCGCTCTGCTCCCCCCAAGAACCTCCAAAACGATGACACCGCCCAGAACCACCCTCCAAAACACCTGCGCATCGGAGGCGCCGCGCGCCGAGGCGCCAGTCGCTGGCGCCCACCGTGCACTTCCCGGACGACGTCAGGGGCGACAGCGTCACCGCGACCGTCACCACGGAGTCGGACCGAAGCCCTGCACCGGCGGGAACGGTCGTGGCACGGCGCGGGGCACCGAAGCGACGCGGAACGCCCAAAGAATGGGTGGGCCGGAGATCTTTTGGGAAGGGGTGTTGGGCTCCAAGCGCGCGTGTTTGGGTGGGGGAAGATCTTATTTGTTGTGTGAAAAATGTCTGGAAAAAAACGCCGCAGATACGGGACTGGGCCAAAAGAACATACCAATCAATTAGATTAAAGCACCCCAACGTAGGGCAAACATGACATACATGGGGTGAGTTTTTGGTTTTGATGGGTTTGGGATGGTTTTAGGATCTCCTCCCTGCCACCCAAAATGGGTGCCATTGGATGGTACCTGGGTTTGGATGGTGCCGATGGCAGGAGCGGCAGGAGCGGCTACCGGATGCTGCCGGATGCCTTGAGAACGTTGTTTCCATGTCCCTGGTTCTTCCAAGTGACCGTACCAGCACCTTCCAAGAGGTCTCTTCTGGAGGCTTTTGTAGACTTACAAGTCGCAGGTGGTGACCTGTTGGAAGGTCCAGGTACTTGATAACCTGGTTGGTTCGGTCACTTAAGCCTCCTAAGGGTCACGAAACGGAACCTTCAAAAGGTCACGAACTGAAGAAGCTGGTCTGTCCTTTTTACCATGGGTATAGTCTTGAGACATGCGGCAAAACTCCCAAACCATCCATGGCCAAATACCCAATCCTCATCGGTTCAGAACATCTTTGGAACAAAAAGTGGTCTTCCTTCCAAAGCCCAGTCTTCACCAAGACCGCGGGATGAGACCAAAAATCCACGGCAACATTCGCGCTCCCGTGACCATTGACCCCTTGACCCAAGTGGACACAGTGACGTGGCTGGGGCCTCCCCACTGGTCACCATGGGTTGTAGCTGGCTGGGGGTGCCACGGTTGTAGCGAAAAGTTCTTCACCCAAGGTCATCATCCAATTTTATCTAACGGTCAAGTTGAGACCGGCCAAGCAGGGCCTCACCTGGTGCTTTCACATCATTCCTGAAGTTCTTTCTCTTGAAACTTTGCATCCAACCACCCTAGGGATCCACATACCGAACCTCAGGTTCGGTACGACTGGGCCCGACCCAGGCACCTATACGTAAACAGTCTCCAATCACCTAACCTGAGGTTCGGTACGACTGGATCCCGGATGGGCATATCCAACCCATGTATGCCAACTCAGACGTGGCCCGCAAGTACCGAGAACCCTTTCAAGTCCTCTGCGCCTCCGGCGCAATCCACCAAGATCCCCCCTACAGAGATACACCAAACTGGGCTGTTGAGTGCCCTGTGGAACCCTTTGCAATTCCACATCCAAAAGGGCAGTGTGGACAAAACACGAGAAACCAGTGTCCTCAAAAAAGCCGCATCTTCAGTATTCTTTGGTGTTTGTTCTTCAGATATTGTTCACTCCAAATGACACCCACAGCGACTGCAGTCGGTGTGCACCTGCTGCCAGCCATGGGAGGATGTCCTCCGTCACCAATGGCGGTAGCCTCGGCGTCCGAAACACGGAACGTGGTGGAAGGTGGAGGTCGTCCATTGAATAAACTGTAGCAACGGTCGCCCTCAAAGACGAAAAGAAAGGTTAGGCATGGTTTTTGTAGTCTGAAAATGTCTGAAATCCTTGTAGCATCTGGTTTGGGACTAAAAGGGTAAAACCCATCAAGTCGATAGTGGTTGGAACTCTGGAAGGTGTATAAGACTGGAAGGTGTGCTTATTGACCCCTACCCGTGGTGCGCCAGCCCGTTTTCACCGATATAGACCTGAGTGGGTCGGGTTCTAAGAACGTTGCTGGTGCCGAACGAGCGACGAGCGTCCAACGTCTGTCCTTCCGTCCGACGTTTTGGACCGCCCAGCCCGTCTTCCTGCGAACTGATCAACCCGACCTGGGACCGATGGTGTTTCTCGGACTGTAGAGACACAGAGACCTGGTGCGACTGATCACCCCGTGGTAGTTCGGGGTGTCCAAGACATTCTGATATACAGAACTTCGTGATGTCGACATTCGCACGAGAACGGAGAAGAGATCGATATGTTCGAGTTAGAGAGAACTGTCTCTTTTTTCGGAAGTTCAGGATGAGTTCTAGAGTAGATCCTATAGGTTTCCTGTTTCCTTCCTTCACCCCTGCTGCCCAGTCACACGCTCCGCTCCGGTTCCTCCTCCCGCTCTGCAGGGAGCGGCGGCGTGACGCGGGACTCCTGAACCATCAGTGGCGAACATCTTAGGTTCCGTGGTGGTGCTACCTGGACCTTCCCTATATGCCCTAGGGCTCCTGGCCCCCTAGGTGGTCCCTATGGGGAGTTCCATGGTGGTGGTGCTTCCTGGACCCCTATAGGGGCTTCCCTAGGGGCTCCTGGCCCTGCCCATCTCCTCAGGTTCGGTGGGGACTGACCCCAACCTAATCCACCCAGGGGTGTGGCCCACCGAACCTGGCGATGTGGGCTGCCGGAGGCCTACAGGTTTGTAAGCGTCCAACGGGTCATCTGGCTGGACACCTCTGCAGTATAGGACTCTTATAGGTCCCCTAGCTGGGCACCATTGGATCCACCCCAGCCTTCAAAGACCATTAAAAGAACGGTTGAGCTGGTGGTGTAGTGTAAAAATCCTTAGTAAAACAATGGTTCTTTGGTAAAGACCATTAAAACAATGGTTGTTTGAATCCTAGGGTCCGGGTAGATAGATCAAAGCTGCAAAACATGAACCCTGGGATGGTGAACTTCCAAGTCTTCAAGTCTTCCTACTTGGAGAGTCCATGGAAGCCACTATGGGTGCACATTCAAAAAAGACCCTTTCCACCTGGGTTTGGAAACTGCTCGATTTCCCGAAAGCGAAGCACCTGGGTTCGGAATTCCCATCGAGGTCCTGTACACTCGCACTCACTCACATGGAAGTGGATGGCGCCACTTTGGAAGATGTTGGTTCCTCTTCCAAACACCAGGGGAGTCGCTCCCCTTCCCCTTGCCCATGTGAGCTTCGTCAGAGGCTCCATTGGCTCCATGGCTCTTCTTCACCGTCCGCTCCACCAAGCCGCCCAGCCCGGCCGCTTCGTCCGCCGTCCGCGACGCGCCGCGTCGCGACGCGTCGACTCCTTTCGCTCGGTGCGGGAGCGAATCACTGCCACCTCGGAAGGCGAGATCTGAGGCATGCGGGCATCGGCATCCAGTGGTCGTTTTTTTGAGGCAAGGCATTTCAGGCATTTGAGGCATCGGCGTTTGGTTTTCAAGGCACCGCGGTGGTGAGTTCTCCGTGTTTTTTGGTGCAAAGCAGTTCGGAGGTGTTTTCCTTCCAGTCGACGTCACCATCCCAAGTGAGAGGAGCTGGACGGACTGCCATAGGACTGCCGAGAAACGGCCAGGGGTGGTGCCAGGGGGGTCAACTGATCGGCATATATTCCAGTCCCATGGAGTGTATGGGCATAGCTCCACCAGCTTTTCATGGATCGCAGGACTCGGCAATCCGGACTCGAACCAATCCATGGCAAACGCGACCCTAGACCCTCATATGGAATATGAAGGCGTTCGAGGGATCTGGAGTTTCTCACCAATCACTATAGGTCTTCAAGATGCGCAAAAGGGACCAGCTGAGATGGGTTCTGCAGGTGTTTTCCCTATATAGGGATCCAGTCGTACCTTCTGAGAAGGTACGACTGGTTCCGACAATGGCACCTACATGTCTCAGCGTCTCCAATCACCTGAGAAGGTACGACTGGATCCATGCCTTAGGGTTGATAAATACGCGAGTTGATCTTCGGCCTCCCCTCGGCATCCACACCCGTAAGGGCGAGAAGAACGCCGCGCACGCCTCCTCAAAGCAGAGAGTGTCCAACAAACTCTTTGAGTCCAAGGAAGCGTGTACAACGAAGGAGCTGAACCTGATGTTCTAAACAACATCATACCCCAGACACGACCCATGGGACTGCCATAGGACTGCCATAGGACTGCCGATCAGTCGGGGTGGGCCATGAGGGGTCAATGTAGGCATATATGGCAGTCCCATGGAGTGTCTGGGATATATCATTCTGTTAGGGGATAACAAGTGGGTGGATGTGGGTGGCATTTTTGCCACACCGGTAGATGGCAATGGAGGGTTGGTTTACTCTTACCGAATCACAATCATATTTAATCATTATTGCAAATCATGGTCATTTAGCGGAACTGAAAGAATTGAGGAATTGGAAAGTCCATGGTGCTTTCAGTCTTGGCATGTAGGCACCCAGAAAGACACCCAGAAAGCACTCGTGGCTTTCGAGGCTCGTTCCCGGACTTCCACGATCTTTCACGACCAAACCATGCCTTGGTTCGGGGCCCCCCAAGGCTATTACCATCACAAGAAATCCCTAGGATTCAAACAACCATTGTTTTAATGGTCTTTACCAAAGAACCATTTTTTTACTAAGGATTTTTACACTGCACCACCAGCTCAACCGTTCTTTTAATGGTCGAACTGAAGGCTGGGGAAATGATTCCAGAACTCTCCCAGAACTCCCTGGATCCACTCTACAGTGGTTTCAGAGGTGAGAAATGGCACTGGCACCCCGTCGGGGTAGTCCTAGCCAGGACAGGGGGTCCATACCATTCCGACAAGGGCCACAGCAGTCACATCCTACCCTTGAAAGCGAGGCCAACGTCAAGAGAACCTACGTCAAATAGTTTGTTAACCTTGAAAAAATCAAATGACTCGCCAAGGATGTATATATACCAGCTAAGCCGTAACAACCCGAAAAGTTAACTTTTTGAAGAAAAGTCAACTTTTTGCTCTTGGTGCAACAATTGTTGTGTTGGAGCATGTATTGGAGAAAAGTGCATGTATTGCGTATTGCATGTATTAACCATATTCATTGCATGTATTGCTGAGAATAGATTGATCATATGCTTGAACCTGATAATATTGTTTGATCATATGATAATATTGTTTGATTGGAAAATATATATATCGATTGACTGGAAATAATTGCTCATAATATCGGTTGATTTTGATATAGTTAGTTTGATAGTTTGATAGTTTGGACATGATCAAACATTGTTCACAGCTTGGGCTCGAGTTGGGCATTGGAGTGGAGAGGGCGCAGCGGCTTCGCAGAAGATTGAGGCTGGCGTGACTGACTTGCGTCGTGGGCGTATATATGTTGCGCGCAGCATGTGATATTATAAAATACATATTGCTTTCTAGATCTTTTGGGTTCAAGTGGGCTTTGAGTTGATCTGACATGGGAACGCAAGGGGTGTGCACTGATCTTGAGGGCTTGTCAGCCATGTGGGATGGCTGCGCTCAAGTCCGTTCTCGGATCAGAGAGTTCCGGCAGATCTGCTTGGAGAGGCCTGCTAGTGATGACCAGGCGCCGGTGGCTGGCGATGTGGGCAGGACAGTTGGCAACCTGAAGTTCAACAGCTTTGTGATTGATGCCTTGGTGCCTTGGTTGATTGACAGCTGACAGGCTACATGTTTGGCACTGCTTGGCTTGCATTTGGCGTCTTGTGTTCATGACCATGCATTTGTAAGGCCAAGGTCATGTTCAAGAAGGATGCCACTCACTTTGTGCCTTGCATCAATGCCTTGCAGTACCATGTGAAGAAGCTGCACGAAGAGAATGGAAGCTTCATGTCGAAGAAAGAGATCAGGGATCAGGCCTGGACTGTCCGCTACCTCTTTGGCCTGCTCAAGCAGCTGACCAATAAGGACTCGCCTCCTACAGAGACTTGCTGCAAATATATGTTGAATTTTTGAGCCTTGCCTCGATCGATATTTTTTGTTCACATATTATAGTATATAATATATATGATCGAATATATGCGACAAGGATGCGACCCTGCTGATGCTGCTGCAGTCTTTGGGCGTGGACACAGTGAAGTGGGAGAAGCGTTCGCCGCCAAGTCGCAGTTCTGACCTTGCCTCCTTGGCTTCCGAAGAGTCTGTAGCTTGGTTGATATAGTATACTCTAAATTAATCATGCATATATATGATAATACGATCATGCAATCCATGCTTGATCTAACATATAGAGTATATACATGCAATCGTGTTTTGAATACATCGCCTAGGTCGATAGCCTGCCATCCTGTCCCAGGGAGGCTGTGCAAGCGCCCGCGCTGGCAGCTGGCAAGACGCAGGAGCAGGCGCCCAAGCCGGAGGAGGAGGCGCCCAAGCTGGCAGCTGGCAAGAAGCAGGAGGAGGCGCCCGAGCAGGCCTCACTGATGGCCTTAGCATTGCGACGGCAGCACTTGCAAACCATGTTTCTTGTCTCAATCCAATATATGCACCATGCATGCTAGCTGTTAAGTTTCAATATACAGATCACTCCAAGGTTGAAAGCGCTGAGACAAGAGCGGAGCAAGGAAATTGCAGCTGGCCACCTGGATGGAGATATACTTTTCCCGCAATTTTCAGAGATACTATAATATATATGCATGCTAGCTTGTCTGATCTATACAGATTCTTTGACAGTTAACATGCAAACGTGCGCTCCAGGTGGAGTGGACAACGTGGCAACTCTGCCCATGGACATTGAGCAAATCGCAGCTGTTGAGCAAACCATTGCGCCACCTGTCGACCCCCAGCCTCATCCCCCCGTGAAGGAAGAGAAGGCCTGGAAGACAGATCTCAAGGTGGAAGGGAAGGCAGAGGAGGCTGATCCACTTGAAGTGGTGAAGTATGTGCCAGAACTTCCAACCTCGGCCAAACCTGCTGAACTTTGCCCCCGTGCTCTGGAGATGGAATTTGCCCAAGTGTCTGAGCCTGGCAAAACTCCACTGCAGGAACTACTTCCGGGCAGGGAGGATGCTGCAGCTTGGATTGATCCTTTTATATATTGTTGGTTTCATATATATTATACTATAGTCATGCACCCATATGTTAAATAGCATGATTGCTTTACCACGAGATATTATATATCAAAAGCAATCTGGAGGTCCTACAAGCTGCGGCAGTTCAGATCGAGCATGATGCTTCTGAGGGCCTTTTTGATAATGGTGATGTTCGGCGTGAACAGTTGAAATCGCGAGCTGGCGAGAAGGCCAGAATGGAGGAAGAGAGGGAACAGAAGAAAGCTGCAAAGGCGAGCAAGCCGAAGGCAGAAGCCAAACCACGTGGCAGGCCAAGGAAACAACCTGAACCTGAAGCCTCAGAGTTGCCAGAGCCGAAGAAAAGGAGGACAGGCCAAAGAAAGAAGGACCAGAAGAATGATGAGGAGCCGGCTCACGAGGAACCTGCTGCTGCTGTGGATGCTGAAACTTTGGAGGAGTGCCTCAGAGCCATGAAGCGGTTTGAGAACACAAAGTATGACAAAGATGTGGAGACCATGCACCACAATGAACTCCAGACTGTCAAGTCGGTACCCTATTGGGACCGCAATGACGTGGGCTTGAAAGTGCCAATTGATGCAAATGGAAAAAAAGGGCAGCGTTCTTTGGTCTTGAATTTGAGCGCAAGACTTTTGATTTCTTATTTTTGAATATTTTCTTACCAATTGCCATCCATGAATGGGCCTTTGCTGGCCGAGGTTTCTATTTCAGCCATAAGGCCACCATCGCTGTGAACATCATTGTGGCTCTCAAGTTGGCGTACAAGCTTGATGCTTTGTATCAAAGCACTTTAGCGATATATAGCATGGTGTTGAATATATTTTAATATACATGATATATTCCTGCAAACATGTATACGCATGACTCCATGGATTAGAGCTGCCCAGGTACTGCTGTGGAAGCTTCAGCATCGCTGTATCTTTGCCGTGAGGTCCAGGACTATTGCCAGCTGATGCATAGCACAGCTGAGGCTGCCATCAAGAAGTTTAAGAGCAGCGCCTGAAGTGTGCTGCGAACAGACAGGGTTCATCGGCAGTGAAAAATGTGGCAAGAGTGTACGCGCATGCATTTGACCGATCTGCGAAATATATTTATATTAATATTCTCGATTATACATGTGCATGATTATATTTAATATCATAGTGCATGATGAACATATGATATCGGTATCGACATATACAGATTGAGTGATACTATATAGCAAAACAAATACTGCAATCGGCCGTTAATCTGCAGGCTCATGGCGGCGCGGCGCTGCTGCTGAAGGCTGAAGCTGCTGCCGCCGTGGGCGCTGCTCGCGTTTCAGGCTTGACCTGGCAAACAGCAAAGCAGTAAAGTATAATGTACGTGACAATTGTTGCTCAAGTTGGCATGTGTTCACGGCTGCCCTCACACAAGCAGCATTATGTCTCAAGCGGACACAGATCCCCCGGGCAGCAGCGAAGGCGGCGGTGCAGGCGACTTGGAAGCATTTATACTTGAGTTGCTGGATAGGCCAATCGAGTACTATATGCATTATATATGATAAATTTCGATCGATCCACGCAGGTGATGGCCGGGCACGACCACTGCGGCCCCCTCCACCGCCGCCGCCGGCGGCAAACCCTCCGCGGCCGAAGCCAATGCCGCAGCCAGGGCGATGGTTGCAGTGCTGGGTCTTCATTCCGGAAAACCCACAGCAACCCCCTGCAGGCATAAGGCCTCCCCCAAGGGTGGTGCCACCTCCAAAGCCGGAGAAGCCAAAAGGAGGAGAAGAGTTTGAGGATGTAGAGGAGGAAGAACCTGGTCTCTTGGATTAATTTAAGTCAATATGTATTATCGTAAATCACATGCATACATGGATCATGCATGAATAATGATGGTGATAGTATAATATCGCGTGAATATATTGCACAAGTCTCAATGCCAATAGTGCTCGCATGTATCTCAGGTGCTCCATCTGGTGTCCAAGTTGCAGAAGCTTTGGCCTCTCAACCTGGAATCGTTGGAACTGCAGAAGATCCAATT